CGGACGGATGGACGCACGGACGCACGGACAATCATGCGATTCTACAAGCTGCATCTGACTTTGTCAGCTGAGCTAAATATTAAGAGATCACTCTTGTTTTCGATGTTGATGATAGTATATAGATGGCACAAAGACCAGGGCAGAAGATTGTGACAATACAATGACTACCAATAAATAATTACCCATTACAACAGCAATATTTCTTATACAATCCTTATTTTACAGTATAAACATGTTGTTAAATACAAATAACACACAATAATTAAAATTTAATACAATTAAACGTGCATAAACATCAGTAGTCATTCTCCTTTTGGTTGATTTACAAAGTCCAAGGGTAATAAGAATTATTGCCATCCAATAGCTAAATCTTCTTAGATATAGGTGGCGAAATCTAGGTGGATATGTCCTGAGCTTCTTCCGCAAATGAGCCAACAGGCTGCGCCGACCTGCAAGGAAAAATCTGCAGTTGACCGCGCAGAAAGTCCAGTTCACAACTGAGCGTTCTTCGCTCTTGCAGCAGTTTGTTCTGTGAGGTGAGAAGCTCACAGACTTGCTGCGCTGACTGCTGCACCTGCGCGTCCGTCTCCTTTAGCTTCTGCAGATTCTGGAGATGAAGTTTACAATGCCGCAGATTCTGCGACTCGGTGTCGCGCTGCACCCTGGTGGCCACTTCGAGGTGTTCAGCCAGCGCACGATTGTTCGCACGCAGCAGCTTCACTTCGCTCCTGTGCTTGTATGCACTCGTCTCCAGCTTGCGCAGTAGACTATGGCATACTTCTGTCAGCTTCCTGAAGCGTGCACCCTGCGCGGCGAGCGTATCCTCGAGTCGTCGTTTGTCGACGAAGTGATCGGAATGCAAGTGTCGCACTATATTTGCTAGCTCAGCTTCCTGCTGCTCACAGTGCCAGCTCAGTGCCTTCATCTGCTCGGCAGTGCCAGCATCAGACTTCAGCTTCTCTGCCCTACAAGAGTTCAGTTCGAGTCGCAGCCGCTGCGCTGTGCCGGTGACGTCGATGCACTCCTCTCTCAAACCGGACATTTCTCTTTCCATGCTATCGATTTGGCACCGCATCTTTCCGACCTCGTCCTGCAGACGTTTCCCCTCCAGCTGCGCCTGTTTGATCGCCGTCTCGCTCGACTGCTTCACTCTCACCAGGTCCTGCTGCGCGACTCTCTGCTCGCGGTCGGCCCGCGCGAGTTTGCCGCTCACCTGCTCTGCGGCACGTGACATCTCCGCTTTGTACGCGTTTATCTCGTCGCGCGCGAGTTCCGCTTCGTTCGCCAGCGCTGCTTTCTCTCTGCTCACCCTATCCAGCTGATGCTCGGCCGCGGCGAGACGCGACTGCAGCGCGCCGGCCTTGCTCGCGAGTTCCTCCGCCTCCTCCCACGCGTGACTGCGCGCCGCCGCTCGCTCCTCCTCCACGCACGCTCTCGCCGCGCGCACCGCATCGGCCGCCTCCTCGGCGCGCTTCTCCAGCTCGGCTCTCAGCTGCTGCTTCTCGACGAGCAGCTGCACCTTCTCCAGCTGCGCGCGCTCGACGAGGTCGACGCTGTGCGCCACCTGGTGGCGCGCATCCCGCTCGCGACGCTGCAGCTCGTCGAGCGACGCGCGGAGCCGCGCGACCGACGTCATCGTCTCGTCGCGCTCGCGAGTCACCTGACTCAGCGTCTCGGCGGCGCACGGCTGCATGCAGTCTGCGCAGAGAGGCCGCAGGGGTTCGCTCTCCGACGCGCGCGCCTCGCCGGAATTCGCTCTCGACCTCAGGTCGTCGCATTCGCTCTGCACTTCCTTTAGTTCGGCTTCTTTGCAGTTGAGCTGAGCTTGCAGTCGGCTGGCCTTCGCGGTGTGAAGCATGCGAATGCTCTCCAGCTCCTGTCTCATTCTCACCAGGACGGACGTCGGACTTGCGGGACGTGAAGCTTGTGCATCGCAACCAGCCATCGCGGGCTGGTCTTCAGCTGTTACCACGTACGATTTGGCTTGCTCGTACAGTAGCCTGTTGTTCTCAACGAGCGTGTTTGCTTTTGTGACTAGCTTGGAGAATGCAAGCTTACTATAGTGGCACTCACTCTCCAGTTGCTGGATGTAGGTGGTGTGATGCAGCAGCAGGGGAATTAGTTCCTCGACGGTCGGCATGCTCTCACGGTGTGGTGAAGACTGCTGTTTGGTTTCTCCCACCACCCTATTCAGCAATGTTCTCAACTCATTCACAGCGCGAGACGAGGGAATGTGGTCGGGTGGCGTCCCGAGCCTTCTCGACTGTGTCTGGTCTTCATCTACCTGTCTGTTTGAGTCAATCACAGTTGTCGCCATTTTATTACTTTAGCTAAAAATTATCCTTTGATATATTTAAACAATCAGCATTGATGTTCCCCATCAGCAGATGCTTTTAACCCGTAAAATCCTCATTGGCTTATACTTTGGGGGCCTTTTCCACTCATTCACAGCATCATGACATTCTTCACAACTGGACAAGTTTATAGCACCACTATTTATGGCAGTTTGCATTATGAATGTTTAGATAGTAACAGATGGCAGATACTGACCACTGGTCACCATATCTAACCTATCCTCTAGCTTGAACAAATTATTCGTCAGCTGCTGCAGGCTCTCCGAAACTTCCTGAAATGTAATTCATATGAGCGTAAATGATTAACTTACTCACTAATTTAATTACATGATAGATCCTTGATTTTGGTTAAAGTGACTGACAGGACAATTAGACAAAGACTACAATTGAGTTGTTGAAACACCAGCATTAGTAGAATTAAGGATTTAGCATTAAATTGAATTTACTAATATTTAATCATGATATTCAACCCCATCAATTTAGTGTCAATAATTGACAAATACATTTTGTGAACGTGACATTGCTTTTCTATAAATTCTCTGTAGACTATTTCTGCCGAGGAAATAATTCAGCATCTTTTTGCCCCATGTAAACAAACTTTAACAAACAACATGTCTGTCCATATACACTGGTCTACAAAGGTGAGAAATTGACGCCTACTGCTACATTTTCTGTGGCTGTAACGTCATTAATACAGCTGCCTTGACTAACCTGTACTAATAGCTGGGTCTTCATAAGTGATTGCGAGGTGACTTTCAATTCCTTAGTGGCATTTTTGTAGTTCTCCTTGAAGGTGGCATGAACATGGTTGTTCAGGTTGTTAGTGGTTTCACCTAATACAAGAAATGCTTAAAATATTAAAACATCACTAACTGTGTGAGAGACATCTAGGTATTTTCTTACATCAAAATGTTAAAATATTTTCAACAATTCCGAGAGCTATATTTTCCACGATTTTTATGCTGGCAATATAACATAAGTTATGTCAAAATGTTTTTAATTTCATCATTATAACTTGAAAGAACATATATACCATAACAACATGTATGTAACTGTTGGAATAAGTTCATTATATTTTATAATAATATATGAGTAAATTTACTATATGATGAATAGAGGTAAGTAACTTAAATGTTAGTAAACAGTTTCGACACCTAGAGGACGTTTTAGCTCTCACCAATTGCAAATATTTCCTACCATGTGAAAAATGGTGGAAAATTAAAAAAAACTTTCTCGGTCTCAAAATACAACTCTAACAGACAATAAAATGCTAGTATCCTTTGGCTGCCATTTGGGGACAAGTTTGTGCAACTTTATTCAACCTGATAAGGATAGCCGCACCAGTGGTGAAAACTGTTGCAAACTAGTTTCCGCAACAGAAAAGTACAAAAGTTGGATTCATAAAAAATAAACTTGCTCTTGAGTATGTAACTGATGCATTACTTACGCAATTTCATGTGAAGAATTCTGAAATACAAATAAAATCGTGTTAAGTCTACATTTAGTATATACATCTCACACACGACTGAACATTTCAAAACTGAATCATTTCACTACTGAAAACCCCAGCATACCTAAGATACTCCTTGTTAACCATTGGTGCATCATACTACCCTATCCTAAAATTATTCATTTTCGATTTTACATACTGAAATATACATGAATATACATGAATTATAAAATTATTCTTGCCTGGCTGCTGGGGTAAATAGTGGCTAGATTTGCTGCCTGCCCTTAAGTTATCACTACACCAAGCAAGTATCCATTTCTGTCTGATACACTGCATGTACAGTGGGGTATCACTCATCACACCAGAAACATCACACAACCTGTACATCTCTGTCTCTCTCTCTCTCTGTCTCTCTCTCTCTCTCTCTCTCTCTCTCTCTCTCTCTCTCTCTCTCTCTCTCTCTCTC